ACAATTCATTTGGATTGTTTCTGATCAATATGAAAGCAATGGCAATGAGGTTTTATGTCATTTAAAAAAAATAATCAAACTTACTATTATTTATCGGGTGGCACAGTGGTCGACTGGTTCGCATGCCCACCTCACAGTGCGGAGGTGCAAGGTTCAGTTACGACTCTGGCCTTCCTGTGTAGAGTTTGCATGTTCTCCCCGTGCCTGCGTGGGTTGTGCCCGGGTACTCCGGTTTCCTCCCACATTCCAAAGACATGCGTGGCAGGTTAATGGTACACTCTAAATTTTCTTTCGGTGTGACTGTGAGCACGGATGGTTGTTCGTCTCTGTGTGCCCTGCAATTGGCTGGGAACCGGTTCAGGGTGTCCCCCGCCTATTGCCTGAAGACAGTTGGGATAGGCTCCAGCACGCCCGTGACCGTCGTGAGGATAAGCAGATAAGAAAATGAATGGATGGAGTGATGGATGGATGGATGGATGGACTATTGTTTGTCTTACAGAGTCAACACGGCCCAGTGCAGAAATGCACTAGCACAATGGAAAAACTGCAAATATTTAAAGCAGACCCGATGTATTCTGCAAAGGCGTTTTAGGACTAAACTAAGACAAAAATCATCAAAGAAACAGGACAAAAAATTAGGTGCATTTTCATTTTCGTATCGGGGCATGTCTAGTTTACCGTATTTGGGAATTTGGCAGACTACATTGCAGATTGCTGGCTGTTCCGGCAAATAGAGCTGGTGCTGATAGAGCTGACCTGAGAATTTGGTGACAGAAAACTAGACTAGACTTTAGAATAATTAAACGCAGGTCTAAGTTGTGGCGCAAGCTGTGTAATGCAATCTTGATGGATTTGAGCGAGGCGTAGACAGATTCTTGGAAAAAAACAAAACATTACAACAGCATGGGACAATCCAATTGAATCATTGAAGAAATCAATTCATTGAATGTACTATTAACATCATTATCATCTTGAAAATATTTTAAGAGCACCCCCCCGACTGTGCAGCATCAAGGACTGAGCACGATCTTTGCTGAAAACTTTACTTAGGTCATGGTATTCTAGTCAGCAAATTGGTGATCAAGTGGAGAGTGACTTGAGTGATGCTTTTAATGACAATTTGTGCATATAGGAAAAATGTTGAAAAGTTAAACTAAACATTGAATAATACGTTACTACCATCGGTGGGCTTTCTATCAGTACTGACACAAGGTGCATCACTGGATGCCTGTTTTCAGTGAAATCGTCACTAACTGAGTCAAGTACTGTTGGACCTCTTAGCCCATCACTGACGGACAGCGTTTTGCTGAGTCATTATAAGTGTTTTTTATGGACAAGCATATTTCCTGTGACAATTGTAAGGAATAAAGAACATTTTAATTTGAACATGGACTACTAATTAATACTCCCATTTTTAGAACACTGATTATATGTAAAGTGCCTAACACTGGATGACATGTTGATCAGAACCGGGAAATGTGTTTGGAAATTATTTTGAGTTTGAAAATGATTTTGAGTGCTCCACCATATTAATGTGTGGCTCTCCAGATGGAAACCGTAATGAAGAAATATCCATCCATCCATTTTCTAATCCGCTAATGCTCACAAGGGTCACAGGTGTGCTGGAGCCTATCCCAGATGTCTTCGGCTACCAGGTGGGGGACACCCTGAACTGGTTGCCAGCCAATCGCAGGGCACACATTGATAAATTACCATTCGCGCCCACAATTACACTTAGGGACAATTTAGAATGTTCCTTTAACCTGCCATGCATGTTTTTGGAATGTGGGATGAAATCAGAGTACCCGGAGAAAAGCCACATGGGCACGGGGAGAACATGGAAACTTCACATAGGAAAGCCACAGTCGCTAATGAAGAAATAATTAGTCTGAAATGTTTAAGATTTATACTTTTAAGACATGTAGTCTTAAAAAAGAAAGTGACGCAGTGCTTCTCCGGGTTATTTTGACCAATCCACCTTGCCAGTCTATGAGCAGCCGATCACGATTGCTTTTCAGACCTTACCAATATTGATGAACTTTGATTGACAGATTTAATTAGGTCTTTCGCCAAAATCTCTTCATGTCTGAGTGTCGAAAGTTTCCACTTGACACTGCAGATGATAAAAGCGCACCATTGACTTTTTGTGCTACCCCTGTTAAGTGGGTGATCTGTCACACCTGAGTTATGCAATGGCATACATCCAGGCTGAAATCATAACAGTGACGGTGACCGTGATACAAGAGATAAAGGGACTACTACATATTACAGCGTGGCAGCCGGTCGACAGACGGTGACAGCCAGAAGAGCGAGATTATTGAAACACACACAACCAAGCTCTCTCGCTCTCTTTTGCTTTGCATAGCAGCATGTTCAGTTGCGCTTACGGACGTAGCGCCAAGGTGTATTTCCTGACATTGGTTTTATGAAGTGTTCTAGAACCCCTGTGGTGATATCCTTTACACATTGATGTCGTTTCTTTTTTGATGCAGTGCCGCTTGAGGGATCGAGGCTCAGAGGCCTTCCATTTTGGTTTTCAGCCATTCCGCTTTCATGCAATGATTTCTCCAGATTCTTAGTATTTTGGGATATTTTAGACCATAAATGATGCAATCCCTACATTTGTTGCAATTGTACGCTGAGAAACATTGTCCTTCAACTGTTTGACTGTTTTCATGAAGTTGTTCACAAAAATGGGAACCGCTCCTGATCTTTCATCTGTCTTACGGACAGTGTTTGTCCATCTTGGTGCCAAAGGCTCCTCAACGTCTGGCTGCAAATATGAGCAGAGGTTACAGGACACCACAGGAAGTAAATAAAACTGCATGAACTGAGTTGTTTTTTATTTTTATTTTTTATGTGTATTGTCTCTCTCTCTGTCTCTTTCTCTCTCTCTTTCTCTCTCGCTCTCTCTCTCTCTGTCCTCTCTCTCTCTCTCTCTCTCTCTCTCTCTCTCTCTCTCTCTCTCTCTCTCTCACTCACTCACTCACTCACTCACTCACTCACTCTCTCTCTCTCTCTCTCACTGCCAAATTGCCAAGTAATTAAATCCAGTACTTTGTAATAGTTGGTTAGTTGGTGCAGGATGACAGAGAAGTTGGAGTGCGTGTTGGCACTGACATCTGCTTTATATTGTTTTCTTTAAGTCTCTCACAGCTCTGAGCATTTCACCCAGTTGAGCTATAGGATTGTTGAAAATAATTTTTCAATATATACTCAATTATCCTGATTATATCTCAAGGGTTAGATCAATAAATGGAACACTGTGTTGCTAAACAGAAACAGCTAATGTTCTGAAACACACAAACAATGTTGATAATATTCGAAATTTCGCCCCTGACTGTGCTTCATTGTCTTGTCTCTTGTTTCCCTGATGGATTGCATCAAATTGCATCAATACTCCAGTAAGCCGAACATACTCAGAGAAGTCGGTGTTGCAATGAATAAGTAGGCATCCTATATTTTTAATCCTCCATTTAGAACATTGTCATTAAAAAACAAACATTCCTGATATTTTAATTATTATTATTGGTGTGTGTGTGTGTGTCTCTCTCTCTCTCTCTCTCTCTCTCTCTCTCTCTCTCTCTCTCTCTCTATATATATATATATATATATATAGTGGCAGCATTTCTAGCACGATGACGTTTTCTCTCTCGTCCTCTTTTTTCTTTCTCCCCCACACGCGCGAGCACACACACACTCACACACACACACACACACACACACACACACACACATTCACACGAGCTCGCGCGCACGCACACAGCTTGCCCCGTAATGGCTGCCATTGCTCATTGTTTGCATCCTGCTTTGTCTGCAGCGCCATTTTAACTCCGCAGGAGGAGGGGAAGCAGCCAAGTTAGCATAACATTAAATTCTCAAAGGCTGCGGGATGTTCCTATAGCTCGTGGATATCAACGCATTCAGTCTTTTGTTTAATATGCTAACTATATCATAATATATAATATTATTACGACTAACTATTATAAACCTATAGGGAACACAGCCAAGTCTAATGTTCCCATTATTTGTAGCGTAGGATAAAATAATTTTCTTCATTTAACATCCCTGTGCAGTCGTTCGTTGGTGTTTTCGCATGACTGCGTGTGTTTATTTGCTAAATCTCCCAATTCTACCCAGATGAAACGATCTAAAGAAAATCCGGACAATCCGTGTCCTCAATCTGTTCTTTTCATTCTTTCAATCTGCTCTGAAAAATGAGCGAGCTAGGGTGGGGTGAGAAAAACATAACCTTAACAGTGAAAAAGCATTTGGTGCAAAGTAAAGCGCATTTAGGTGTATTAAATAACTAATTTAACATAATAAACATTTAAAATAATAATAATAATAAGAAGAAGAAGAATAACCATTATCATCATCGAGCATCACATTTTTAGTAATACTGTATGCCCAAGTCGTACAAATTGTAAACGTTCAACAAAAAGGTCTCAAATATATCCGATAGGATATTAATTTGAACGTCTGACACCTTAGAAATAAAAACTGTAAACGCCACTTTGTAATTGTATTTGTATTTTTATTATCATATTCGTATTCCACTATGAAAATATGTATACAATAAATAATTTGGATCTCACTATTAAAGAATCTCCATAAATAAACTAGTGTGTAAAACTCGCATCATCAACACGGCTTCCTTCTTCTCTCCGTTCACAGCAAGATATTTTTTTTCCTGTTCATTTCCTCAATCGAGATTTTCAAAAAGCAGTCCAGCGATACGAAGCAGTTCCTGAGAAGTTTGGATTAAAAAAAAAATCACGCACTCTAAAAATTCTAACTAATAAATATCATTATAAATTCACATTCCTGGAATGAGGGCACAGAAAAAAAAGATTATTTTTATATTCTTTTTTTTTAACTGGTCATCTCTCGTCGTAGCTCTTCATTTTACGTGTCAAAAATAGTGGCAAAAGGATGAAAACATATTTAAATATCAACGTCGAAAATTTTCACTCATAAATCATTCGGGAATGTAGACGTGTTTGTTTGTTTTCCTCAGCAATGCAGTTCTTGTCGAGAGCCCTCGTTTTCTGTGCGGTATTTATAAACAAGACTCAGAAGTTGAGATGCTGAAGGTCCATGGTGCACAGAGTGCGTGTGAACAAGTCGAAGTCCTCTTCCGAAAAATCCACCGGGCTGTCCAATGAACTCTGAAGGCTGGGTGACATGCAGGCGTCCCCGGAAAAGAACGTCAGGTCGGGGAGCTCGGAGGAGCACGAGGAGGAGGGGATGGACGAATCTGGCTGCTCGCAAAATGCTGGATCAGATACTGATACTGTGCTCGTCTCGTTCAAATGCTTTACGCTCGTGTTCTCACTGGAATGTTTTGCCGCGAACTGCTCCGGGGACTGGTATTTGGCAGCAGAGTCACAGGAGTCAGCCGCATTCGACAGGGTTGGCAGCTCCGGGCGGCTCGATAGGCCTCCCTCCTCCAGCGTGGGATGCGCATTGTCCCCGCTGTCAAAGGTGTGGGCGGTGGGTGCAGCGGCCGAAGATGGATTACTGCTCCCCGCCTCGCCATCCGATAACTCTCCGGTGCCAGATGCTTCAAGCGGCTGGCTTGAGTATGGTGATGAAGCATCCGCGCCTTCGAGGGGCTCGATACAACTCGGTTCGCCGGATTCTTGGTTTCCTCCTCCCCCTTCGCCACCGCCGTCACGGTGGTGTGTGGTCTGCCTCTTGTGTTTCATCCGCCGGTTCTGGAACCAAACTTTAACCTGCCGCTCGGTCAAATCCAAAAGGGCGGCAATCTCCACTCTTCTAGGTCGGCAAAGATACTTGTTAAAATGAAACTCCTTCTCCAGCTCGAGCAGTTGCGTGTTGGTGTAGGCTGTGCGGAGCCGACGGGACCCGGCTCCTCCGACATCCAGACCCGCCTGATTCGGATCTGAACGGAAAAGTACATAAATAAAGGCCGTGCTTTAATTATTCGTTCGAATGTCTGCACGTGGATTTCGTCATTCTTATAATATTACAATTCACGTCATGTTTTCCCTCCACGGGGATTCAATGAAGCCACTAAAATATTACTCGCACAATTTCGTATTCAAAATACCGGTAAGCTGTTTCAACATAGGGCATGGAGCTCGCCCGGTTCTCCTTTATGAAATAAAAACATTAAAACACCCTAATATATAATTACTGGATCATAGACCCGTCCTCTGAATATAGTCTAGGCTCGAAGTATAAAAATAAATACAGCAATAAACAATTTTTAAAAGCTAAATAAAGCGAGTTGTGTCGCTATAATGTCAGTAACACTCGTCTGTAACAAGCAGGGAGTACTGTGAACGACTGTGTGAAATTGACATGCAGAGATTTTGATTAAATACATCAAAATAGGGGGTAAGAGTGAGAACCATAGATGCAAATGTTATATATTGCATCTGCGTTTTTGTCGTATATGTCAAAACAGACACCAAGCCCTTAAGGAAACCAGCAAAAGAAAAGTCGGAAATTTGTACACGATATAAAAAGCGCGTGTTTCAACGTGTGTATGCGTGTGTGTGTGTGTGTGTGTGTGTGTGATTTAAGTGTTGATCTAAAAATATTAATGATAACTGCGTATGGGATGTAACTGGAAGCCAAACGAAATCGAGGATTTAAGAATTTCCATATCTTACTTTGTGTTTATAGTATGCTCCATCCAACCCCGCCCCACGATTCTTTGAGGGACTATATGCGTCGCAATTCAATATGGCTGCCTTGAGCACAAAATATAGGTTATATCCAGGAAGACTCTCTGTTTCGAAATATAAACATGTAAAGTTTGTAATTATTACAAATAAGCACGTGAAGAATTGTACAGAAAATATCCCTTGCGTTTACACACCACATGTCATCATTCCAAATTTAATGACTGTCATAATAACCGGGATAGATGTATATATAATTGCGGGGTACTCAATGCAAAATCTCTCTCTTCAAATAGCTAACGTGGCCATTTTAAGACCAATGAATGGGAGCGTGCAAGACAGGGCACAGCATAATGCAGTGGTCTAAAAATGGCTCCCTGCTGCTCCTGCATCACCGCAATGCACAAGACGCACATAGACACAACAGTGATTGAGACAATGCCATCCTCGACTGATATACATTTAATGCAATTGCCCGAGTGGAGATTAGCAGTGGGCAATCAATCAGTTTAAACACATCCAAGTCATCCCTACTGCCCAACCATAAACACAAACACATGCACATCCCAGCATACACCGACCTGTGGGTGATTCGATGCCCGCCAAAGCGTACCCGGAGGCGGTCGGTGAAGGAGACGAAGAGGCGGATGGGATGATGGATCCGCCACTGCTAGAGCTGCCCCCACTTTTCTGGCATTTTTTGGATGACTTCTTCTCTTTCATCCAGGGGAATTCGTGAGCCAGCGATCCTGCGGCAGAGGATGCGTTCGGGGCGGGGGCCTGGCTGGGCGGGCAGGGCTGTTGGCTGAGTCGGTGGTTCGTCTGGAGGCCATTGGTAACAGAGGTTCTCCGGTTCTGTTGGTTCCTTGAAGATGGTCTTGGCTGGCTGGCTGTGCAGGGGCTGAGGCTGGGGATGGTGTTCTCGAAGGGAGGCGGAATTACTGTCGACTCCTTGATTGATGAAGTTTGAAATGACTCCAGGACGGCAGGGAAGGACGTCAGGCACTCTGCTAGCGACGGTTGGCTGTTTATAAAACCGATCTCTCGTTCAAATTCAAAATTCATAGCTCCTTCAATCGGATATCACTGTCTAACGATGAGACCCCCGGAAAATCCCTTCCCCAAAATAAAAAGCAAAACACACGCGCACACACACACGCACACATTCATGAAGACTCCTACAGTCCCGAAACGTCTTAAAATTAAACACAAATTAAAAAAAAAACCACGAGCACGGAAGCACCAGCCGCGGTAGCGTAAATGCGTGTGGCAATATAATAATTGTGTATATTGGTGATATTACTAGCGTATGGGGACCTGGGTAGGCTAAACTGAAGAACTATGGGGTGAAAATGCAGCCAATTCCTGGTCACGTGATCCGAAAGAACCAATTAGAGGCCTAGGCCTGGCGGCAGCGTTGACTGTGGGAAGCTGCATAATTATGTATGTACAAAATGTGGCAAACGGGGCTATACCGCAAAATAATGCCATTGTTTTTGTCACACCGGGGGGTGTTTCAGAGGCAAGGAAGAAGCCTGAAGGCTACCGTTAGCCATGTGGGCAGTGTAGGCGAACTGTCGGTGGATTTCAACTCGTATGACGGAAACAATAGAGCATCGTTTTTCCCCGATGGCTGATGACGGTCAACTCTCGAAGATCCCCAACACCGTTTACATTATGGCTCCTTCAAAAATGCTATCTACATCAAAACTCGGATCATTAATTTTTTTTCTGTGGGACAGACGCCGAGATTTTTAGATATGTGGGGAAATATTTTACATTTCATTTTTGCACAGACAGCAGTATGGCTAGATTTAATTATGCATAAAAGGTGGGAAATGTTTAATTGCAAATGCGTCGTGCTTGCTCTTCTTCGGCTGTTTGCTTTTCGTAAAAAGATACGAGTTTTGATTTTTGAAATCCATCTTCTTGTGTCCCTCGGCAATCCATAGTGAGAGACAGAGGTTACCCCACCCCCTTCCTCAGTGTGAAGTGTGTGTTAAAAATGGTTGGCGTGTTTACGGAGGGAGAGGGAGTTCACAGCGAGGTCGGTCTGCAACCGAGGTGGGGGGGGGTGCGCACAAGTCGCTGTTCGTGATAAAAAGACACAATTTTAATATGAGCTTTCCGAGTTGATTGCCGGGGGCATAATGTCATTGGAAAATTGGGCGAAAATGATGACAGTTTGTAAAAATTGGGAACTCCATAAATAGGACGGGATGTTTCAATAGGGCCAAGGGAGCCCCGGGTGGGTGGGTGTTGGTGATCAATCTTTCTCTGACTGCAAAGACCCTGACGCATGCCTCTTCTTTCCTGAAATCATTGATGCAAACTTCCCATCCACGCTACCCATTTTCTTATATTATGAACATTCACTGCGAAAGTATCATGCACCTGTTTTATCCTCGTATTCCATTCCGACCCCGACGACAGCCCCCATTTCGTTTGCATACAAGTTGTCTTCGCCTCCTTTTCCCCGAGGGTGCAAAAGAAAGAAATGCAGAAATGTGTGTGGGAGTGAGGGCCACTGAGCGAAGCGGGCAAAGTAGACGCTGGATTTGACGGCACATCCACAATCACTCGGATATCCGTAGAAGGCACACATTTTTCTATAGATTGAATTTGTGAATATATTAGATTTACATTTCGTTGTTTTGAGGGTAATAGTAAGCTGATCAGGTAAAATAATCTATTTGGAACATGGCCTGATTATACGGTATCGCAATATGTTAAACTGCTATTGCATAACACAACGTATGTTGCGAAAGAAATTAATCCTGCGATTTTGATCGCTTGTTCAAGATGCATGCATGAAAACGACATTTGGTTGAGCGTTGACAGTTAACATCAGATGGGTATTTGTAATTCTATTAAAAGCTGTCGGCCTGCGTGATGGTCGTTAATAAAACAGCGTTGAAGCTCTCCGAGCTCCTGTGACACACGCAATGGCTTTGTGAAAGCCCGCTCGCGGCTCAGCTCGTCTCAACTTCCAACGCGTCTTGCGCAGCTGAAGCCAAGTTCCCTGTCTGTTTTTATGAGGCAATAAATTAGATCAATCTCTGCTTATTGGTGTTTTTATTGTCTGTTAGTCCAACGAAAATGTAAAGGGAAGTACGGCCGTTATTTATGGGGCCCTGATTTATGTCTCAAATCGGTTCTCAGAAATAGGGGGGCGAGACCGAGAGAGGTAAAGAATTGAAGCTGCGGTTGAGGCTCCAAACCACGTGATCACGTCATGGCGTGAGCTAGCGTTTTTTTTTTTTCCAAACAGAGACAGAGCTCCGTCTTGGAAGACCAACATGGGTTTATAATCGGACAAGTATTATTATATAATTTGCACGGAGCCAGCAAAGAAGCTTAATCGCAAATCTACTGTGAGCACTGTGGAAAAAATTAGTTCCCTATCTTTGCACTGTTTTGTTATATCATGTATCGCATTTCTGATAGTGAACAACAAACAAACCGTTTGCGCTTCAAAACGATTAGATAATACGTCGACATGTATGGACAATTTTCTGGCGGTAAATAAAAAGAATGTAGCTCACTTCTTATTCGGTAATGAATGTTGATCGGCTCATTATCAGTTAGCATCTACAGTTTAGATGCTAAACTATGGAAACTATGGATGCAAGAATCAACCGATTTGTTAGGAACAGGAGAGGGAGGGGAAACAGCGTTAAAGCAACAATAGAGGTGGCCCAGTGTGAATGCTCCCCTAAAACTTATCTAGAATTCAATTGTTCTAGCGGTTATTGTGTTTTTGTTGTTGTTGTTTCTACTAACAAACACTTGTCTTTAATGATTGCCTCTGATCGGCTGCTATACCAGCATGTCCCACCGGATTAATAAAGTATCAAACTGACCTAACGCTCGATTTTCACATTTTTGGAGAACTGTGTAAATTTGAGATGTAGATCATTGCACTTGAAAGCCTGCGGTTCAAGTTTACTGCCTGAGAGGATGTCGAAACAGTGAATGAAACTCTGAATAAAGTAACATTTTATTAAGGAATTGTTGGACAGACAGCTCTATAAACACTTAAATATAAAGTTGCTAAAGGGCAAATAAAGAAGTCTTGTTCTCCAAAAAGACTTGTTCTTCTTCCCCCAGCTAATATGTTGTCAAAATTCTACAGTATGCGCATGGATGGGTTACCAATCCCCATCCCTGCAGTTTCCTTGTACATGGCAAGACATGTATGTACAAGGGTCACTGTAGGAACTTAAAAAGTACTTATTTGCTATCAAAATACAAGAACTAAAAATGTAACTTCAGTACAATCGACAAAGAAGAAACACAATGTTGTTTTTTCTTTCATAACAGGTAAATGCTAGAAAATTACATTTTTTTTCTCAACATAAATACATGAGGGATAAATAATGATAATGGAGAGAGAAAATTCTTTTCAACTGGTTATAACAAATAAATATTTTCTGTGAATAATCACTTGGACGCACATCTGCGAAAGACTCTGATTGGAGAGCCTCCCTGAAAATATTATTTTAGTTTTTTTTTTTTTTTTTACTGTAAACTTAAAAATGTAAACTCTAAGTGCAACAATGATGCCCAGATGCCAAAAGCATTTGTGTAAATTGTACTTTTAAAAAAACATGAGTATATTTCCAGAACATCAAGGAGTGTAGAGTGGGCCGAACACACTTAATGATTTTAACACTGAGTTCATTATTTTTAAAAATGTTTTGTGTATTGTCCCAAACTCTGCTTACAGACGCTTCAAACAAATAAACCCATTTTTTTTAATGTGCACACATTTCTGGGATTAGCATTTTTGTTCAAATATATACCCTGTATCCATTTTAAAAGTTAAGATATGTGAGGGGGGAAAAAAACAACAACAAACAATATAAAAGAATGATGCCCACCAATTTATGTAAACCCTTCCATTAGTGAAAGTGAGTGAGAAAATGGGCATAAGCATAAATAAAAAGCATTCTCAACACTATACCCTGTATCAATGATGTGCGAAAATAAGGTCATCAACAAATTCTGGAACAACGTCAGCAGTGGATGTTACCTGACTGCACATTTACCAACCGTGGGAAACTAGCTTAGCATTGCTGTGTGTACAAAGGGTGGGATGCTAAAGTACCTAGAGAGACTTTGTATGTACGTATGTCATTCTTGGGGATCTATCGCCTTGGAGCTTTCCAAAAATACGGTTGGAGTGAGAGAAGAATTGACTGAAGGTGTCAAAATTGTGTTCAGATGCATAAATAGAATTGTAGAAAATTGTTGCCCCTCGTCAGAGGGCGTGTGCTGTTGTGACATTATCAAATACAATTCGGTTAGTGATTAAATCTGGATCCACACAGGAGGTGAAAAGAGACAGAGGATTACGACTCAGCGTTTTGATGCACTTACTGGACAGGCAAGAGTGAAGAGTGCCGGCTATTCTTTCCTCTCTCTAGGAGCTCGACACACTCTGCTCAGATGACTACAACATGTGTTGCCTGGAGGGGAAGAAACCTCACTGTCATTAATCGAGCCACCTCAGTAACTTCCCATTAAACGCTCCACTATTTCATCTGGAAGACCTCTTTGTATATGGGGCTGGCGAGGTATCTAGTATTTAAATGAAGTCTCAATCAGTGTTATTCAATAGAATATTAATGAGTATACCATTTGCTCAAGTGATCAATGATTTTGAGATCTGTGAATTTGAAAACATTTAACGAAGGCTTTCTATGAAACATCCATGCACCCATTTTCTAATCCGCTTCCCCTTATGAAGGGTCGCGGGCGTGCTGGAGCCTATCCCAGTTTTCTTCCGGCAGTAGGCGGGTTACACCCTGAACTGGTTGCCAGCCAATCGCAGGTCACACATAGATGAACAACCATTCGCGCTCAAACTCACACCAAGGTACAATTTAGAGTGTTCCATTAAACTGCCATGCATGTTTTTGGAATGTGGGAGGAAACCGTCGTACCCGCAGAAAACCCACACAGGCACGGGGAGAACATGCAAACCCCACATAGGAAGGGTAGAGCCGGAATCGAACCCTGCACCTCTGCACTGTGAGGCTGACGTGCTAACCAGTCGATCGCCATGTCGCCCTTCTATGAAACTAATTAACCCTTTCATGCACCAATAATAATAACCTGTAACTTGATAACATGATAAACTGCCCACTGTAGTAACCGCTGTCCCTGAAAGCGCTAAAGACAAATAAATGCCTCTTTTTCAGGTTGTCACGACTGCACTCATGAGTTTGGCAGGATAAAACTATATGAACTTCATCCATCCATTTCCTGTACCACTTGTCTGTCTCCAATAGGATCAGTGGTAACTGGAGTTGATCCTTGCTGAGTTTGGGCGAGAGGCGGGGTGACATTTCAGACCGGTCACCAGTCATCAAATAGATAAACAATTAACATGAAAAATCAATTGAGAGCAGGGGTCCCCAATCAGTGGTCCGTGGACCAGTATGTGGTACCAGACCGCACAGAGAAACAATTCCACACAGCATTTTTTTTTCAGTGGACATATAGAAATGTTCATAACAGCAGCCAATCAAAGCTGACCTTTTGTTTCTCTACTTTGGTTTGCCAATTGAAAAAGTTAACAGACAGTAAGAGTAAGACATAAACAATGACCGAGCGTGTAGCTAAACGCGCATCTGATGGACATCCAAGACTTGGTTTATCTTCTGAAGATGAAGCTATTTGGACAAGAGAAAATTCCTCACCATGGCTAGTGCAGTAATAGCTCCAAAGCAACCGTTATGCATGATGTGCCATCAAAAACAGGCAACACAACAATTAATGTTGAATCATTTGCACCACCCATGTGGTGATGTGGAAATCATGAAAACACAAGTGGAGTTTGCACAGCCTGTCCAAGTCGCATTGGCAGTTGCGCCGCTACTCACTAGCCTCATCGCCGATACCAAATGAAGGATCATCACTTAAAAACGAGAATGTTTTCATTTTAAGGCGGATTCATTATTCCCGAGGGCTCCATTTTTTATCAGTCCATAGCATGATTATATTTTGTTCAAGCTTTGCTGGTCTGCGAAAAAATGGTTGGGGACAACTGATTTCGAGTGTTCAATTGGCCTCAAGGGTTTTTTTTTTTTTTTTTTTTTTAAGAATGTGGGAGGAGGCCAGAGCACCCAAAGAAAACATCACAGAAAGACGTGCCGCCCACCGTTTCCTTGTACTGCCTGCTCCTTATTTAGTGCATACATGTAGAGACTAGCGCTACAGAATGAGTTTTCTGTTTGAAATGAATGGATACAAATCCAAATTAAGTGCTTTTCTACGAGTGAAATACAATGACATATTGCTAACACCAATGACATCAATATAGGGCCAAAACATTGATTACTCCTGTTAGGGGCTGTAAAGCATAAACCACTGAATTGCTCCTCTCTGTCTCCTTTCTGTCTCTAATGCCTTTGCTTTTCCTGCAAGTGAGTCCCGAAATGTAAGTTCAGCTTGTTAATTGAGTAACATTACTTGTTCTGTGTGGTCTTCCTTCATTTTTCTTCCCGTTGCTACAGGTGAGTGAGCTTGGGTGCTTCTTGAATTCTGCCCTGAGTCGAGGTGTGGTGCGCCGAGAGCTCGGTGTACGTTGCATGAGTGGGCGGGTCGCAGGGACCCGGGGGTACCCCTCCGCTCACATGATGCTGGTTAGTGGCTGACATGGGGCCTGCACCATTGTAGTCAATGGTTTGGTGATGGGATGGTGTGGGGCCAAGGTGATTGAGGCCATACATGGAGGGCCCAGAGCCAGGCATGGCTTCCACATAGCTGCCGCCCCCCACATACACTGGACTGGCCTGCATGTTGGCGGGAGTTCCAAAGCTGGTACTGTTGGCCTGTACGAGGCCATGGTGAGGATGCGGCTCACCGTAGTCTTGATCTTGGTGACTATACTTCTGTTGTGGAGGGCAGCCCTTCATTGGGAGATTGGAATAGGCAGTGGGCATGGAGTACGAAACTCCTTGGTGAGGTTTCCCAAAGGATGGGGGAGATGGGGCATCATAGCCTGACCCTCCTCCCCCACCTCCCCCAACTAATGGGTGCATTGAGTTGAGATAACTGGCAGAGGATTGCATGGGCAGAGGCGGTGAGCTCGTTGGTGAAGGCCCTCCTGAGCTGGAACTTAATCCCTTGGACTTCTGGTCCTTTTTGTACTTCATGCGTCGGTTCTGGAACCAGATCTTGATCTGGCGCTCAGAAAGGTTGAGCAGATTGGCCATCTCCACACGCCGTGGACGGCACAGGTACCGATTGAAATGAAACTCCTTCTCCAGTTCGACGAGTTGGCCGCTGGTGTAGGCTGTACGTGCTCGCTTGGATGAGGCCGATGATCCGCCAGTAGGACTCTTCTCCCCGCCGCTACCACTCTCACCTCCACCTGATGCTGCTGGGAGAGGAAAACGACTTTAGAGGAAGCTTAACAGGGTGATCAGAGTGGAATGGAAACAAAAATATAAGATAAACGGAAGAGACAGCAGACAAGAAAATTAATGATGAAATGGTAGCTGACTCAAAGTGGCTAATAATGTGCTACAGTTACTGTTACACTGTGACTTTTTATATAACTTGTCTGAGTAGTTTAAAATGAAAATATTATTTACGTTTACATCAGTACATTTGTTAAGAAGGAACGTTTACTTATTTTTATTTGATTCCATTGAGTACATTCTGCTCACTGTATTTGCACCTACTGTATATAAAATTGCTGTGTGATCTTTTTGTTTTAGTTCATCAGTGAAACTCACGCCTCAAGTGCTGTCACATGGCTCAGTTTCAACAATCCAACGTCTCCACAGCCCAACACAGAAGCAAGTTTTCTAAGTGACTCATTTATGCGACACATGGCAGAAACAGCAAAGGAAACAACGCCGTGTGCCTCACACTCAGATGTTATGCTAAACCCCTGGCCTCACATCAATTGTTTGTGCATATACACCGTCTGTGTCTGCCCAAAAAGGTCCACATTTCAGCCAACAAGAATTCCACTTTGAACATGCGAAAACAGTGGGAGATTAGACCATCTTAGTATTTTCGCAGATGCATGTTAGGAAAAAGGGTGGTTTGCGCCACTGTGGATGTGAACACACCCGACTTGGTTCGCCATCAATCAGAGTGGCTCCGAGCATTCCCTTTAAATGTGATGCGACCCATTTTGGCAGGAGGTCCAATTGCACAAAGTACATTTATAAGGAATTGCAAGCAAACCCCCACGGGCGGATGATGTTATGTTAGAACACAGATACGCACTGTGTGTAGCGGGCACTTGAAGACCCTAATCCTTCTTGTCCATGTCAAATCCAATGACGTGCACCACACATTAGCAAACCTCAGAATGTATCTGCCTGTGCCCCGATCAAATACACCAAAATCACATTAGACTTATGGGCGCTGAAACTGAAGACGTGGTTCCAGCGGGCATATAGTTCAGAAAACTTTCTGACAGCAAATTGTCACATGAGCCCATCACTGCACAGCGTGAGGAACCAATTTCCCAAACAGGCACATAGAGGCTTGCACCTACATGAAAATCAGGATAAGAAAGCATTTCTACATGTACCGTCTATGAAAAGAGAGCCGTAAGTCTCACGATGGCCAATCAAGAATGCCAAAATCAATTCTAATTATCACTGGATGATTCGGATAGATTGCTGAGTCTGTACCGTCCGTCATAGCAGTATCTGACATCTTCATGAACGACTACACGGTCATATCGTTTTATCGTTCCCAACCTTAATTTATAACCTTTTAATTTACCCATTGGCACATTTCCAGGGCGGCCTGGTGGACCAGTGGTCAGCGCGTCGACCTCTCAGTACAGAGGTCGTGGGTTCGATCCCAGCTCTGGCCTTCCTGTGTGAAGTTTGCATGTTCTCCCCGGTCCTGCGTGGGTTTTCTCCGGGTACTCCGGTTTCCTCCCACATTCTAAAAACATGCATGGCAGGCTGATTGAACACTCTAAATTGTCCGTAGGTGTGAGTGTGTGTGCGGATGGTTGTTCGTCTCTGTGTGCTCTGTGATTGGCTGGCAAAAGGTTCAGGGTGTCCCCGCCTACTGCCCGAAGACGGCTGGGATAGGCTCCAGCACCCCCGCGACCATTGTGAGGATAAAGCTGATCGGGAAATGGATGGATGGATGGCACATTTCCAAGGCTCTTACAATATTCTTAATCAGCATACTACAAGCAAAAACATAGGACAAACTAGTACTGCAAATATGACAAAGTAAACAAGTCTTTCTGATAGACTTATGAGGACTCTAGCTGCTAGCTTAATTGTTGTGTGTTGTCAAGAAAGACTTTAAAAAAAGTTTCTGTCACATAGTAAACAAAATTCACATGAATAAAGATGTTTCTAACACTTAAGGCATATGGACATTGGGTTTTTTTTTGGTTCAACAAAGAGGAACAGAGACAGGAGAAGCATTAACACGCAGATACAAACACACACACGAACACACACACAATATTAGAAAAGGCTAGCAACCAATCAACAAATTTCAGCAGAAAGTGAGTGGACTTTGACAAACTTGACCTGACAGGAAGCTGACAAACCACTGAACATGGACGCCAAAGTGCTGCATGCACTGAGCCCAAACCGCACTTTGTCAACAAAGACATCAGCCAGCTTTGGTCACCGGAATGCTACGCCCCACCACACACCTCCGTCTTGTATTGAGGATACATGCACATGTCCAACTTTTAACTTGACTCACTGCCTTCACATTTGTGCAACCCAGATCCGGTATATGTCACTAACCACACAAGAAAAAAACAACTTCACTCATCACTTATTATATATTGGAGTATTTATCCTGCTCATTTAAAAATCAATTTATCCATCCTTTTATTTATTTTTTTTATCCTCATTCGAGTTATGGGTATGCTGGAATCTATCCCAGGTGACTTTATGCGTGAGGAGTGATACATCCTGGACTGGTTGCCAGCCAATCACAGGGCACCTATAGACAAACAACAATTCACAATCTCATGCACACCGAAGAAAAATGTTTTCAATTAACTTAACATGACTGTTTTTGAAACGTGGGAGGAAAACAGAGTAGTGGGAGAAAACCCACACAAGCACAGGGAGAACATGTGAGCTCCACGCAGGAAGGGCAGGAATACGAACCCATGACCTCGGAACTGTGAGACAGATGTACATATATATGTATGTGTGTGTGTGTGTCTGTGTGATGTGACCGGATTTAAAAGTGACAGTCCTCTTATTTGAGTAAATTTTTTTGTCTGCATTCTTAGGTAGGGGTACTGTTCAGGCAGAGCATAGTATCCCCTGATATTAGTTGTCAGCACTTGATAACAGTGGCAGTTATTAAGAGACAGAGGCCCTGCTACTGGTTGTGGGCAGCTAAATTGCATCTTGGCCGCAAAGACAAAAAGCCCCTGCAGCAATCACAGCAGCAGAGAGACTGTGAGCACAAATCATGCGGAAGTGGCCTTCAATTCACACTGAGTTCATTTAAATACCACATTACTGGAATGGATCATGCTAAATGCAAGAGAGGGACATCGTTTTGGAACATGTTGATTGACATAGTAAGCTGGCAGGCTTGTTAAAAGGCGTGTATATTTTCCGATTCAGATTCTCGCAATTTGGCAATGGTATGTTATGAAATGTAAAAAAAATAGATCATAAAACTAGTCTACAAATTTTAACCTTTTTTTTTCAGAGATGCAAGTAAACTTTTCTCGATTCATTTTTCGCGTCGATTCCAAATCTGCCCTAATTTTTTTCTTGAGAACAGGGGTGTCAAACTCATTTTTGTCGCGGGCCAGATTTCTGTTAGTTTGGAAGGCCGTGATGACTGAAACCATATAAAGAAGTCAAAAATAACAGTTTTTTTTCCCTATTGTTTAAGATATTGCAATGAGGGGTTTCATAACAAGAAAATGCCCCAGTATCACTCAGTATCACTCTTATTTATTACCAAATTTGAAATTTTGGTAGCGATTTTAGGAAGCATCATGAAAGTTGACATCTTTGATTTGCTTTCGCGGGCCACATAAAATTATGTGGCGGGCCAAATCTAGCCCCCGGACCTTGAGTTTGACACCTCTGCTCTCAAACATCAGGTTTTCATAGTAATAATGGCAATATAATAGCAATAATATGATATGTAGTATAGTATTTTATTGAGAAATATTTTTGAATTAAGGATTAGGTTCAGCTACAGGTGGAATTTTTTTTCAGAAACCGCATAGCTATTAATTATAACATATGGTAAAATCAGTGTTGTGCAAGTTTTTATAGGTCAAACTTAAGGACGTGTTTTAAATCAGCATTAAAAAACGTTTCGGAACATATAAGGCATCTCTGATTAAAATTTGCTGTTGAGCTGTGTACCGGTAATTAACTTAATTGAGTGGGTTTTTTTACTTATCATTGTATTCCTTTTCTAGATATGTTGGAATAAATATTGCCATTATAATAAAGAATTAAAAGGAAATGTGGTGATGGGGAAACAAAGAAAAAAAATGGGGGGAAAAGGTCTTTTAGATTATGGAAAGATTTGATGAAAGTAGCATTGGAAGACCAGAAGAGATCCAATTCTTTGGTCGCTGACTTGGCGGAGTTGAACAATAAAAAAGATGGGTAAAACACACCATTGCCCGAGTTGTTGCTGGGTGAACAGTTTTTCTGCTTGGTCGCTTGGCGGGACTCCTTCATCCAGGGAAATATCTGCTTGGCCAAAGTTGGATTGGAGGGCAGCGAAGAGGAGGAGGAAGAAGTGGAGGATGACGTCGAGGAGGAGGAATTTGATGACCTGCTGGGGCCTGATTTGGGGACTGACGAGGCACCAGCACTGCCCCCTGGCTGCTGAGCGACGGTACTTTCATCGCTTGGATTGGGGGCCAAAGGTGGGGAAACTTGGGAGCCAGTGTGCTGCTCAGGAGGCAGGGTGGGCCTCATGCAGCTGCCATTCAGCTCCTTGTTTTTGGCGAGCTGTTGCTGCTGCTGGTGCCCACCACTCCCACCCAGTGTCTGCAAAGAGCAGGCAGATCGGTGGTAAGAGTCAACATCCAGATGGGTTGCCGACTGGAAGATTGGCTGATGATGAGACCCCGGGACTTCATAGCCCCCAAAGCCGTTGGCAGGTGCAGTTGCTGCCCCCTGCACCTGATAAGATGCGTAGCCACCAAAAAGAGTTGAGTTGTCGTAGTATGTTGTCTTCTGCATGTCTGGGAAAGGCGGCAATGTCTTCTTTAGCTCCGGCCCTTGTTGAGAACCACTGCCGGAAGACCATTTGGCACCAGGGGTCACGTGACGGTGTCTCTCAAATGGCCCCCTGCAATCTGACCTAAAAGGTTAGGAAAAGCAGAAACAAGAAATGAGAGAGATAAATCCATCTTCTGCCACTGAAAGGCGCCATGACATGAATAGAAACCGGCGCTTTTCTTCCCTCACCTCCTGCCCCCCTCCCTTCTGAGCCTGAGCACAGACTGCAGATGCTCTTGTGGAGGGGGCATAAGGAGGGCAGACCTCTTTCTTTACACACACGCATGCACACACACGCGCACACACACACACACACACACACACACACACACACACACACACACACACGCACACACACA